TGGAAAAAAAGTCTATCTGTACTATTTCCAGGCCTGGAGAATAGTGGCCACCTAATTTTGAATCTCTTCATGTGCCATCTCTTCCTTCCCCAAACATAAAAATGAGCAAATAAAACCACACTTGAGCCTGCATTTCACAGTATTAGCAGATAGAGTATATATTATGGCTTTCACATCAAATGCAAGTTGAGAAATAAGCTAAATTCCAGTAAAGGTCCAGCTGCTGCGAGCCTGGTGTTGCTGAGAAAAAGGACAGAAGAGGCTTAAAAGGCTCCATGAAAAAAGTAGAGTGGTTCAAAATATTTAAGCAATGCACAAACAGAATAGTCCCTTTCCCCAGAGAGAGAAACTCCAGTATGAAGTGCAAAACTCTCAACACAGATTTGGATGGGCTAGGACATATCTATAGCTCCTGAGACTGTAGGACTGGGAATGGAAGCCTCCAAGAAGCATTGCTTTTGGGAGAGAATCAGATACATAGGCAAGGTGTAGCTTCCCTTGGAGACAGGCCACTGCAGAGAAAGAAGAAAGAGGAAAACATTTAGGATCCAGCAGAAATTAAAGAGAAAACACATCCATCCTCTCCAGCAGTACTCACCATAAATAAAATCACCACCAAAAAAGGAACAGTCAGAACAGAGCACTCTTAAATTGGGAACCCTGCCCACAAAATGAAGAGGAATAGGAAATAAAGCTATGAAAAGCTAAAGGTGCATTTCAAAATTAAAATGCTGTTGAAAATTCTCACTTTAACAATTACAGAATTGAAAAATACTTACACAAAGCTTTATATTGGATTAAATATCCTTAGGAAAAATAAACAACTTGAATCATACATTTAAAAACTACTATAGACCAAAAAAATGAACATATGCATGTTGATTAAACTCAGGAAAGAAATAGAAGAAAAAGTTCAAATTTATATTAGACTTGAAAACTAAATTACAAGGTGCCCAAGGAACAATGAATTCATATAAAGATATAGTAAGGGACACTTACATGAGGTAGAGGGGATAAAAACCCTAGAAGATAAAAATGAACTAAAGAAGTAAAAAGGTATAAGGAGGAAATGACTGAATTGGAACACAGGCAAAGACGGTCCAAAATCAAACTACTTGGAGGCCATCAAGAACAAAACAATTGACTAAAACTAGTATCTAAAATTAAAATCCAAGGAAACTTTGTGGAAATGAGAGAAGCCATACTGGTTACCATGTACCAGGGAGAATTGACTCATAATAATCCAAGATGTATCCTAGGAAAACCATTACACTGTAAAGATTGAAAAAAAAAATCCTCAAGATCTTCAAACAAAAAGATGATTTGTAAAGGTACAGAAATTAGACTGGTCTAACTTTTCAGAGATACTATATAAAGATATAAATCAAAGCAGCAGTAGAGGAACATATACACAGCACAGTGCTATTGTGCCATAAAGAAAGATAAACTTGAGGCATTGATCGGTAAATGGATGCACTTTGAAACTATAATATTACGTGAAATAAGTCAGACACACAAGTTTAAATATTACATAGTTTCTCTAAAATGAAAAAGAATATAAATATGAGGGATCCAAAATAGAAGATAGAAAATAGGAAATTGGGAGGTCATTTTCAGATAGACAGGGGAACAAGAGATGAGGGAAGAGGGAAGATAAGGGAATGGGAAAAATTGAGGAAAAAAATGAAAATAGAGCTTTTGCAAATGAGAAAAGGGACCAAGAGTTGGAAGGATCAGGGTGGGTAGGAAAGGGTAGAGGACAAACAAAAAGGAATTATGTATATGTACCAACTCCACAAGATAGATGCAATCATATGTAATATATTTTTGTTTGTTTTTTGAGAAGAGTCTTGCTATGTAGTTCAGGCTGGGCTTGAACTCACTATGTAGGCCAGACTGGCCTCAAACTTGCAGCAGTCCTCCTGACTCAGCCTCCCAAGTGCTGGGATTATAGGCGTGCGCCACCATGCCCAGCATAATATAAGCATGTATTAATAAAAAAAAAAATTTTAAAAGAATCTTAAGGACTATAGGGCTATTATGAACCTTACATTTGTCCCTCAGTCATCACCCAGGGCTGCAGAAAAAGTTTGAATGTCAAGAACCCAGAAAACACTGCATTTATGTGCCCCTTTCTGCTGAACACAATTGAGGGAGAACTTCATCCACATAGGGATGACTTGGGAAACTACCCATGGATAGATGAAGATTTCATACACATAGTTTCAGAGCTAAGACCAAAACAGGGATGTAGGTGTGATCTGAGAAGCAGAAGCATAGGAGAAATGAAAAATAATATGGGGCTTATTATAGGTACTTGACCTTACATATTAGATACCTGTGGAACTGGCTAACTGGTCTTGTTTTAGGCTGGCATATATGTGTCTGCTGCCTCAGCTTGAAGATGGCAGGTCAGGCAGTCGAAAAGGAAAGATGGGTATGAAGTAGGGAAGAACAAAGAGCAGATTCGGAAGCATAAGCTGGAACCTGTGTAAGCTTCCAGGTTATTAAATGAGGTAACTAGCAGAGTAAGGTGGTATCCTTTGTCATGGAGCTGAATGCTCACCTGGCCCCAGAGTTAGAAAAGCTGAGGGAGGAGATCTGCTGTGTTTTATTTCCTTCTGTTCAATTGCCTGCTTGCCTTTGCCTATCCTTTATTCTTAGCCTTTTGGATCCACTTTTAGATGTACCTCATGTACACAGTGTATCCATCTTTTTAATAGATGAGTTAAGCTCATAGGTATATTGTACGATTAAGTATTATAAATATTCTGTGCCTTACGCAGATTAGCTCTTAATCTTCCTAACCTAGGAGGCAGTTACTGACATTTTCCCCATTTTCCAAATGAGAAAAGTGATAGAGAGGTTCAGTAACTCACGAAAGGTACAGGTGCAGTCCTTCTCACCCCTCCCTACCATCCCTACCCCAGTTTTCAGGCAGTCACACTGCACTATATTTTTATTCCTCTGGTTGCTTTCAAGATGTCTTTGTATCTATTTAATCTTCAGTTTTCAGTAATTATTTGATAATGTGGCTAGACCTGTTTCTCTCTGATTTGTCTCACTTGGTGTGTGCTAACTTTGAATTCTGTAACTTGTTATCTCTAACCACATTTTGGAAGTTTAGGCATCACACTCGCACATTTATTCTGCCCTGATCTTTCTCCTTTCCATGTAGGCTTCCAGTTAAACTTTAGATCTTTTAAATTGTTCCAGAAATTGTTCTGTTCTTTTTAATTCGATCTTTCTTTGCATTTGTTAGATTGGCTTGTTTCTGTTGTACTATCTTTAGGTTCACTGACTTTTTCCTCTGTCATTTTTTTTCTTTTTTGCCTTTGAGTAAATTTATTCCAATAGGTATATTTACTTCAGAGAATTTATTTCAAATAGATATTTTTAGTTCTTATGTTTTTATTTAGTTATTTTTTATGGTTTCCGTTTCTCTGTTTCCTGTTTTTTCATTCATTTTATGTATTTTTTTCTTTTACATGTGGAGCAAAGTTAGCATCATTACTTTAAAGTCTTTGCTAATTCAAACATGTACTTTATCTTGGCACTGATATCTATTGATTTTTTTATAATAAGCCTCATTAGCTTGCCTTTTTTTTTTTTTTTTAGGGTCCCGTTATAGTTCAGGCTGGTCTTGAACTCACTATATAGCCCAGGCTGACCTCACAGCAGTCCTCCTGCCTCAGCCTCCAGAGTGCTGGGACTATCGGCATGTGCCACCATGCCCATCTACCTTGCTTTTTTCAAGTAGTTTGAGTTTGTACCTTGGACATTGCAATGTTATGTAGACGAGGTTGTCATAGACCTCTGGAGAATATTGATAGCTTTGTGTTAGTAGACATTCAAGTCTGGTAGTTCAGATTGTAAACTCCGTCTCATCCTCCAGCAGCCCTCCTGTCAACTCTAATTCAGGTCTCAGGTCTCTGGTCTCTCAGCATTTACTACACTTTATTGGGTCTGGGTTGTCACATTCTCCAGTTTGCTTTTCCTTTTAGCCTCGTACTCTCCAGCTTCCCTGGTTCCTTGAAGTTTCTTTTGGAGTTTTAGCCACCTGTATACCTTCAGAACTGGGGGTCTGTTCTCAGAGCAAAGCCGGGGAAGGATAGAAGGAATAGAACTGGAAACATCCTCATGCATGTGATTTTTAAGTTTTGAACCCCCCTCTACAAACTACCTGCTGTGTTTACTTTTCTCAGTCTTCAAACAGTGATGTGTTTGCCTGTGTTTTGGTTTCAAGTTAGTAGTTATAACAGAACAGCGGGCTGTTGGGGAGTTAATGCCTCTGATTTGTATGGTTTTATTTATTCTTCATGCTAATTTGAGTAGGTTTTGATGGACATGTTGAGAGATTTGAGTTTATTATGTCTTCTACCTTAGTATTGTTTTTGCTCTGAATCTAGCCTAAATGCTCCCCTCCCATTCTAACTTCTTGAAATAATGCATTGATTAGATAAAGGAAGTATGTTATCTTTAGTTTGTAGCAGTTCTGTTTGCCAGAAAGTTTGTTACAAGAATGACATAATAGGACTTTCACATGAATTGAAAACCTTATATTATGGGGAATCTTGTTTATATTCATTCAGTTAAGCTGTAATGTAAGATTAGATCAAAAAATTTAGGAGAATAATATGATAATAGATACATAAAAAAGCAGTCATAGTCATTCTGAATTTCAAAGAGGCTTATTCTAGGTAAGAAAACTTCAATATCTAGACTATAATTGCTATTTTTCAATGGCTTTGTCTAGCAAAAGGACATAGTTTTAAGCCTGGAATGGCACATGAATTTGATCATGTTTCTGTATAGAAATCAAGATTGTTATGAGATTTAAATTTGTTAATTTCTGTACATGTGTTTAAATGCAGTTGACATTAATGTACTTATTTCTTTTAATCTACAAATTATTTATGTTTATTAGTGACATGAAACCTAGTGTATGGATAACACTATTAATATTTCATCATATTTAATATATACTTTTCCCCTTTCAGATGGTCTCCTGATTGTTGGTGTTCACTCAGCTAAGTTTCCAAATGAAAAAGTCCTGGACAACATTACAAGTGCAGTTCTCCGATACAATATCACCCACCCTGTGGTTAATGATGCAGATGCCAGCCTTTGGCAAGACCTAGAGGTGTCCTGCTGGCCAACACTGGTCATTCTTGGACCCCGTGGAAACATGTTGTTTTCTTTGATTGGAGAAGGACACAAAGAAAAATTATTTTTGTATACTTCAATAGCTTTAAAGTATTACAAAGACAGGGGACAGATCAGAGATAATAAAATTGGAATAAAACTCTACAAAGATTCTCTGCCACCTTCACCACTGCTGTTTCCTGGCAAAGTAACTGTAGACCATGCTACTAATAGACTGGTAATAGCAGATACTGGACACCATAGGATTTTGGTCATTTGGAAAAATGGACAAATTCAGTACAGTATTGGAGGTAAAGATCGTTTTCAAGTATCCTGTATAGTATGTTTCACAGTTAAAAAAATAGTTCAGGTAAATACATGAAAATTGAAATTTATAAATAAGAACTAATAGATGGCATGCATTGACTTCACTATAAAATTATATTTTTGTTATTTAACGTATGGTATCTGAACAAACCTCTACTAACTCCCTGAAACATTAACCAAGAAAGCTCTGTGTCAAAGGAGGAAATCATTAAGTTACATATCTTAAATATATTTGTATATCCATTTTGTTTTTTAAAAATTGCCAGTTATTATATCTTATGAAAATATGTATATTGAATTTCTGATATTTTAAGTGGAAGTATTATATTTTACTTTCTGGCAAAATTTATTCATATCTTTTTCAAGACCAGGACAATGTCCCAGCAACCTGACATTTAGATTATAAAATAAATAAGCTAGGATTTGTACATAATTTTATTATGCTCTCCTTCTTTCCCTAGGAACTTAAACATGCTTTGGGATGTATTCTCTCTGTAGCAAAGTAGACGTATCAGGCAAGGACATACCATTTTGTTCCATTTCTCCTTGACCTTATATCAAAACCTGCCTTTTATTTACATACACTTAATAAAATTCCTTAAGCATATTCTTATTAAACCTGCTTATCTAGGCTGAACGGACGTGTAACAACATATCAAAGAGAAAACTAATCCATCTCTGTAGTCAGTCTGCTGTAGTAATATATGCAGCATTGTACATAAAGTAGGGTGATCTGACTTACAATGCAAATAAGCCAATCATATTTCTGAGTCATGATGCCATTTTTAGTGTGCTAAGATAGGATTCCCTTTACTTCTTGAATTATTTGTGTTTCTTATTTGTTTTTATTAGAGTATGTGTTATGTTTTGTATTTGTTTTGACTACTTGATAATTTTCATAGGATAGGCAGTTATGAGAATTGTTACTCAAAAAGTATATTTTGAAGTAGCTCGAATTTAAATAATTTAAATAGTTTTAATAGATATCTATAGTTTTCAAAAACAGTGTAGGTTAATATTCTGTTAGAGAAATCATCAAACTGTATTTCTCAAACATGTTTCTAAAAATACTGATATTTTGTAATGTAAAATCGTTCTTTGGTCATATACACTTAGGAAATACTGGTTTGATGTGATTTAGCAGATTTTTTTGTTGTTTTGTTGGGAGTATCATTGGACTTCTCAAACCTTTTACTCTGATAACGTGCCCATGAATGTATAAAAGAGGGCTGCAGTGCCCAGTATTTTCCATCCAAAGTAACCACAGAATGCGCCGTCCTTTTTTTTTCAAGGAACTCTTACAGCATCAGCAACAATAATAGTATTATTGACTACAGTGGTAATGGCAAACAGGATCTGGCTAACTATCTAGCACAGTATCTGTGTTAACTTTTTCATTCTCATATTACTATGTGTTGGGTACGATAATTAGTTCCATTTTATAGAAAGGAAAAAAAAGAGTGAGAACTTGCCCAGACCTAGCATTAGACTCTTGAGTTCATTTTCTGGAGACTACATTATAATACCATTCTGAGTCACATCTACAACGATGGGGTTCTGCAAAGCAGTTTGTTTCTGTTGACTTTGGGGCTTTGACTAGCTTTTTCTTCATATCACAGAAGTAACAGTTATATTTTATTGTATCATACTTTCCACCTTTAAAACTCTAGATATATTGCAGAAGCAGGCCATTGGATCAGAATCATCACACTGTATCTATCTTAAAGTGTATATGTGATACTGTAGGATTTTATGGCAATGTGAAATAGGAAGGAGTCTGAAATTGTTTTTCTTTTTCTTTTAGCAGTATTGGCCAGCCTGCACTAGTCATTGTAGGGTCATCCTCGACTACATAGCAAGACCCTGTCTCAAAAAAAAATTTTTTTTAAAGAAAATTATTTCTTCTGATACATGCTATAACATGCAGTGAAATCTTTTATATTATAATCCCTGTCATTATCAAAACTCACTCTTGAGAAAAATACATACCATGAAAAGCATTTTAGTTTTTAGATAGAAATACAATGTTATTTATCTTCAAATCCCAGCGTTAAATACAATTTCTTTAAATTTTTGTTAATTTGAAATCACTTTTTAATAGCAAAATCTTGTCTTATGACTGTCTTATCTTTTAGGACCTAACCCTGGAAGAAAAGATGGACTGTTTTCAGAGTCAACTTTTAACTCTCCACAGGGTGTAGCCATGATGGATAATGTCATATATGTGGCAGACACTGAAAACCACCTTATAAGAAAGGTAATTTTCCTTTTTAAGTTTTTATTGTTTTTAATAGTTCTAATCAGAAAAACTAATACTTATTTGCTACATGAGATATTTGAACTTATAAGGTGTGACATGTAAGTATGTCAGAGCATCCTTATTCCACTTTTCTCAAGAGCATTTGCTTTAGTTTTAATATCTTGTTTTTCATTTTATCAGTATGTAGTTGCTATAGAAAAAAAAATCCATTAACTTTTTTTTTTTTAAGTCATGTGCCCAGTTACCAAACGCTTCCAATTTTGAGGTATTTTCCTAACCAGTAGTTTACAAAATGATACTTGGTCCTTTCCGGTTAAATTTTCTCAACCCTAGAAAAAAGATCATTCCATTCCTGCCTCCCTTCACCTCTTATGCTTTGGCTGAAAATTACTAGTCAATTAGTCTTAAAATTTATTTCATGGAGCCAGGTAGAGGTGGAGAAGGGGATGGAAGAAGAATTAAGAAATGTTATGTACACGCACCAACTCCCCATGAGGAATGTAATCATTATGTACCGCAAGCATGTACTAATAAAAACTTTTAAAAACTTATTTCGTCTCATTAAAGATATGGCCTTGTTTTTTAAAAAGTCAACTATTACATAAAGGTACAAAAGTTCCCTGACCATCAATTCTGTTTTCCCACAGGTAGCCAACTACCCTGAAATCTTGTGTCTTTCCAGAAAACCTCTACCTGCACATACATACAGAAAGATCCGTATTTAAAAGAGTCTAGCCAGGTGTAGTGGTGGTACGCTTTTATAATCCCGGCACTCTGGGGTGGGAGGATCGAATATTCAACCCCAGCCTGGGAATTTAACGAGACCCTGTCTTAAAATTTATAAAAGGGCTGGTGATGTTCCTTAGTGCAAAAGCCCCGAGTTTAATCCCCAAAACTGAAAGAAAGGCAGGAGGTTTAGAGATTTTTAAAAAAATTTTTTTATTTTGAGACAGGATCTCATTAAGTCACTAAATTGCCCAGGCTAAGCTTGAACTTGCGATACTTCTGCCTTAGCCTCCAGAGTGCTGGTATCACAGCTGTGCACCACAAGCCTGGCTATTGAAATTTTTAAATGGAATCATACTAAATATACATGTTTTGCCAGTTTTATTATTTCCCATATTAGTCACATGAATGACATGACTATCATATTTCATTGTTGATATACCCAGTTATTTTAAATATTCCCTCCCTGTGGCTCTTTTGGATATAATCCATTGGTCTTTAAGTTACCATCTATTTGGAAAATAACCAAGTTCCTCTAACCTATCCTATTGGATGAACATATTTTTTTCAGATACTCCCTTGTTTTTCTCACTGTTTCTTTCAGTATTGATATTTACCTTCATTTATTTGTCAATATTATCACTTAACGTACAGTTAATGGCAGATACACATATTGAATATCTAATAACTCCCTGCCATGTATATCTCCATGAGGGCAAGAAATAATGTTTACTTTGCTGTTAAAAATCCTGGCACTTAGGATAGCACCTGGCCTGTGGATGGCGTTCAGTAGCTATTTGTTAAATGAATTTATGAACAAATAACATCTGCTTAATCATTTTCAAAAGTGATTCTTTAAAGTCTTGGAGACTGTTTGTGGGACTTAAGTATGCTAATATATTGTTGAGTACTGTATATTAGTGGGGATACTTGTGCAGCGTTTCCAACATTTGATGAAGGAGCCTTGTTAGGCAGAGCTTCTCATAGACTAGTGTTTCTGTAGTAAATACTTTGCAGAAAAGTGTTTTTCTAATGTTAAACACTTAAAGTTCAATATTTCTTTATCACTTTTTTCTAGTGTTGAGTATTTCCATAATGAATCAGAATGTCATAGATATCCAGCTGTGGACTGAACCAGTGAGATAGCTGGCCTGCGTCATTCAGAGAGTACTTGTTCTTTCTACCTGTACATCCTCTCTCCTCCTTTAGAACTTAATGGGTTTTGGAGTATTGACCATGATGCTGCATTTTTAAATGCTTATGCATTAAGTAGCATAATCACAACGCATTTAGCTTTCCTAAACTTGTTCTATATTGTATTATTTAGTCTCTATAGAAATAGGAAGTGGAATTATTTTTTCTTTTCTTTTTTATAAAAATATTTCTTTTATTTTGTTTTTGGTTAAAACCACATTTGCAGAGAATTGTCCTGATCCTCCTCTTAACATTCATGCACACAAATGCATTGTTCCATTCAAATTCTTCCTTGTCTGGAATAATTTAATAAGTTACAGATTCTCTACATCCCCTTTCCCCACTCCCACTGCCCTTCCCTTTATGTGAACAAACCAGTAGGCAACCATTCTGCTAAGCTTACTGCATGTCTTTGAGACTTGTGAAACAGTGTTTTGTGTACATGATAATCTTATAAGACTTTATTTTGGTGTATCATAAAGTTTAGCCATGTAAGTATAATTTGTTAATTTTTTGTAGATTTGACAGGTTTTACAAACATAACCATCAGTTTTTAGAATGTTTCATCCCCCAATTAAGAACTCTCATAATAGTCACAGATAAACCCCATTCCTAAGCAACTACTAATTTACTTTCATTTCTATTAATTTGGTTTTCTTGAAATTTTTATATAAATAAAATGATAAGATACATGGTTTGTTTGGGTTTTTTTCATTTTACATGCTTTTGGGGTTCATCTATGAAATAGCATAGATGAACATAGTAGTTTATCCCTTTGTATTGTTGGGTAGCATTCTATTGTGTGGATATACCACATTTTGTCTATCCATTTACCAGTTGATCAGCATTTAGATTTTGTTTTGTTTTTAAGTTTTTGTTTGGTTTTGGAGTCTCACTGTGTAGTCCAAGCTGGCCTTGAACTCACTGTGTAACCCAGGCTGGCCTCAAACTTACAGCAATCCTGCTGCCTTGGCCTTTCAAGTGCTACGATTATGGGTGTGCACCAACACGTGAAACTATAGGTTGTTTCTAACTTTTGACTGTTACTAATAATACTGCTATAAACATTTGTGTACAAGTGTTACATGGGAATACATTTTCATTTCTCTTGAATAGATACCTAGAACTAGAATTACTGCTATATGGTCTACGTTTGACTTTTTGAGACTCTACTAAATTGTTTTCCATAGCAGTTGTGCCAGTTTACATTCTCACCTGAAATAGATCTGTTCCAATTTTTCTACTTCCTCACCATTACTTGTTATTTTCCTTTTTAAAAAAATTAAATTCTAACCATTCTATGACATATGAATTGGCATTTCATTGTAGTTCTTGTAGGCTTTTCCTGATGACTAATGGCATCAAACATTTTTTCCTGTGCTTATAGAAACATTTTTATCTCTTCCTTTGAGAAGAATCTATTCAGATTCTTTGCCAGGTTTTTTAATTGAATAATTTATCTTTTTTGTAATTGAGTTATAAAAATTCTTTATATATTCTGTGTAGAAGTTCTTTATCAGATATGTAATTTGCAGCTATTTTTTCACATTCTTTGTGTTGGCTTTTCAATTAATGATATCCTTTGATAAAAAATTTAAATGCTAGTGGTGCCTAATTTATCTACTTTTCCTTTTATTATGCATTTGGTATTATCTGGAAAGAAGACTTCATTGTCAAATCCAAGGTCACAAAGATTTAGTCCTGTGTTTTCATCCATAAATAAGTCTTTCATTCATTGTGAGTTGACTTTTGGATATGATATGAAGTAAAAGTCCACTCCATTCTTTTGTATGTGGGTATCTAGTTATACCAGAGCCAATTACTGGAAAGACTGTTCTGCCTCTTTTAGTCTTGGCAAGCTTGTTGAAAATCAATTTATCTTAGATGCATGGATTTATTTCTGCACTTTCACCCCTCTTCCATTGACCTGTATGTCTTTCTATCACCCAGTACTACACTATTTTGATTGCTATATCTTTTAATAAGTTGTAAATCTAGTAGTGTGAGTCTTCCTACTTTCTTCTTTTCCAAGACTGTTTTGGCTATCTGGGGTCCCTTGCAATTTCATATGACTTTAGGATCAACTTAGCCATTTTGGTTTGGATATTTCTTATGTAAATAATTGTCAACAAAAACAAATCATTTTTAATTTTTAAACTTTTCTTCCCCTTTTATTGTGTTGTTAGCTTGACTTCCATCACTCTTAAGCATTAGCAATGATGGTAGGTGGGTATCATGTCATCCTTATAGTCAAAGGGAATGAATGTAAATTTTCTCCAGAAAGTTAGCATTTGTTACAGCTTTGGAAAATAAAATATCTATTTTGTTAAGAAAATTTCTTTTTATTCCTAGTTGCAAAGTAAGAATTATTTTATTAAATATACTTCCTACACATACTGAAATAATTATATTTCTTGTCCTTGGTCTGTCAATGTGATGAGTTATATTAGTATATTTTTCTGAGATTAAGCTATCTTTTTATTCCTAAAATAAACCTTACCTAGTCATTAATTTTTTGGAAAATCAAGTTGGATTTGATTATCCGAAATTATATTTAATACTTTAAAATTCATGCATATGAATTAAATAGCTCTAATTTCTTCTACTCTTCTCATCTGGTTTTAGAATCAAGGTCACACTGACCTCATCAAATCAGCTAGTCTCATTCTTTTCCTCTATTTTAGAATAATTTGCCTAACACCAATCACTGTTTTGAACATTTGTTAGAACTCCCTTGTGACATTAACTGGACCTGGTGCTTTTTGTAAGATGAGTTACTTGATTTTCATATCAATTTCTGTGATACACTATTTCTTAAATCAAGATCTACTTCAGGGGCCCATCCCAAGCTACCCCTGTATTTTCACAGATTGGGTTCAGTGAATATATAGATAAGGTTAAACTGATGAATTTCTTTATAATCTCAGCAGATTATAGAGCAGACACTAAAGAAATAATATAAAGATGAATCGTTAAAATAAATCATTGTAGGGCTGGGGGCTCAGTGGCACTGCGCCTGCTTCACAAGCGCAAGGTCCTGAGTACAATCCCTGGTACCAAAAAATTTTTTTTAAAAAATACATTAGTGTAATTTACTATAGTTGTGGAATAAAAGCTAATAACTTTAGGATTGTTTTCATAAGAGTAGAAAAACATTTGAAACTATTACTTATTCATGAGAAAATCAGCAACCTTGAAAGGGAAGTTAATACCCTCTGTATAACTGTCTACAAAAAGCCTCTAGCCTCTCTTAATGTAAACTATTGAATGTTTTCATATTGGGGAGAATTGGATTGGAAGTCCCAGCCATTATAATAAGACAAGAAAGAGAAATAAAAGGTGTATAGTTTGTAAAAGAATAATTGCCTTAATTTTTTGATGACATCATATATAGAGAAAATTCTAAGAAATCTGTGAAATAACTACTCAGATGTGAATTTTGTTACGTACTAATAATAATCACTTGGAAATTGGAATGTAAAAATTTTATCTACATTAACAACAAGATAGAATACTTAGAACAAATGTTATAAAATATATGCAAGACTTGAATATAGTTTGCTCTTTCTACCTACAGGTTCTATATCTATAGATTCAGCTAACCATGATTCAAAAATACATTGTAACAACTATATACCTAGATTTGCATTGTATTAGGTGTAAATAATTACAATAATCTAGTCCTGATTTAACAAACACATAAAGTACACATGTAGGTTATGTATAAATACTGCACCATTTTATATAAGGACTTAAATTAGATACCACATCAAACTGACCTGGAACCAATTCCCCAAGAATACTGAGGTACTTAAAATTACAAAATATTACTGAGAAAAATTAATTATTTTAGTAATATGAACATATTAAATAGAATTAATATTAAAGACTCAATGTTAAGTTGTCAGTTCTCTCCAAATTGAAATTCAGCATAATCCCAATCAAAACTCCATTAGGCTTTTTTAAAAGATATTTATAAATAGATTCCAAAATGTACATGGAAATGCAAAATAAAGTATTCATATATCTAGAATAATCTCATGAAAGAACATTAAAAGACATACACTGTTTTTTATTTGAAAACTTCCTATATTGCTACATTAATCAAGAGACTGTGGTACTATCAGAAGGATAGACACAGAACAGTAAAAAAGAATGAAGAGCCTTAAATAGCCCCATTCCTATATGGTTCATTTGATTGTTTTAAAAACACCAAACTCAACTGCAGAAAGAAAACAGTTTCAGCAAACAGTACTAGAACAACTAGATACTCATGTGGAATTTGAAATAAATTGCCTTTCAAATAATATACAAACATCAGTTGCATCACAGACCTAAACGTAAAAGTAAAAACAAAGCTTTTAAAAAACACTTCTTAAAGAAAGATAGTACAGATAGCTCATACACATAGGGAAAGATGCTTGACATCTTTAGTAATCAGAAAATTGCATATCAAAACCACCATGAGAAGTAGCTTCATACTTCTAGGATGGCTGAAAATATCTTTGTGATTTGCAAGTAGGCAAAGATTTTTCATGACAACACAAAAACAATCATAAAAGAAAAATGATAAATTAGGCTTTAGTAAAATTTAAAATGTCTGATCATTAAAATTAACTTCAGAAAAGAAGACAAATCATAGGTTTTTGGCAATATTAGCAAAAATCTACAAAACATGTCTTTCAAGAGGCTGGTGTCCATGATATATAAAGACTACCACAAATGAAAAATGATAAGATAGCCCAATAAAAAAATGAGCCAAAGATTGGTACAGACTTTTCTTAAAAGAAGATACAGAATGACCACAAGCACATAAAGTGCCCAACATCCTGAGATAAGAAGGAAATGTAGTTAAAACCACAATGGTGAGCCAAGACATGGTAGTTTATGCCTGTGGTACCATTACTAGGGAGGCTGAGGCAGGAGCATGGCTTGAGTTCAGGAGTTCCAGATCAGCCTGGGTGACATAGCAAGATCCCTCGGGAGAAAAACCAAAACTACAGACAAAACAGTGGTATGCTGATCTTTTAATGACAGTGAAACTGATACTGGCAATTTACTTTGAAATGCATCAAAAAATGAGTGGGTTGAAGAATCGATAGGTGGATAAAATATGTGCTAAATCGAGTAAGTGAAATGTGGATAGCAGACTCTAACCAGGTGGTGATTATATGGATGTTTGCTGCAAACTCCTTTTAGTTTTTCTGTATGTGGTAAATTTTCATGGTAAAATGTTTGGAAAAGGGTCTAAAGAGATAAAAGCAGAGCATCTTGTTTTCAGTGGACTATATTACAATAGTCTCTCAATGTATGAAGTACAGTTAACATAGTGTCAGTTGCCTGGATTCAAATCTCAGATCCAACATACTAGCTGTGGGATCTTGGGAAAGTTACTTAACAGTCTGTGTCTCAGTTACCTGTAAGCTAATCAAAGTCACAGTCATTGGGTTAGTCTGAGGAGGGCTGGTTGTCTGACTCACTCTTGAGTTGTGCTGAACACCTATTGAGTTCTTTATGTGTTAATTACTAGCTAAGTGTGTACATAGCTGAAATATGTACATTTAATTCTAAGAAACATGCATTTAACTAGATTGTGTTTTTAAATTTCACTTTCTTTTAAAATATTTTATAGTTAAGATGAGGCCAGCCCTAGTTCTGATGGAGGCATGGTGGGAGTGGGGGAAAGAGGAGGAAAGTAGAGGAATAGACAGGTGGAGAAATGAAAGAGACTGATTGTGTGCACTTGAATTACAAGGTCCCCATTAGCTTTTTAAAAAACATTGTGTTGCAGGGCCGGGGATTTAGCTCAGTTGTTCCGCTGCCTGCCTCACGCAAGTGCAAGGTCCTGAGTTTGATCTCTGGTACAAACAAACAAAAAAAATTGTGTTGCAAATACTGCCTGTATGTTCTATTAGAAGTCTTCACAAACTAAAGGAAAAACAAAAAAAAAAAATAACATGCATTGCATAATACATCAATTAAATTTTTATAGATTGACCTAGAAGCTGAGAGGGTGAGCACTGTAGCCGGCATTGGAGTTCAAGGTACAGATAAAGAAGGAGGAGCAAAAGGAGAACAACAACCCATTTGCTCCCCTTGGGATGTTGCTTTTGGAACATCAGGTATGTAAAGTTTTAAATGTAAGTATACTTTGCTTAATCAAAGACTTTAAAAATATGCTTGAAGTATTCATTTGGATAATTGTGTTGGTAGTTATTTTATACTCATATTTATGGTGTGGAGTTTGTTCATTATGTGCAACAAAGTCAGCAATAATATATTCATGACAGAATATGTATTATATGTAACAATATACATTTTCTATACAAGACAAAGTTTAAAGAATTTCATGTTAGATACCTCTTCCAATTCACCTAGTCCTGAATATTCTTAAATTGAAAGGTTTATAGTTTCAGAACTTCAAAAGGTTATTAAAATTTGGGAGCTGCTTTTTCTTTTGATTTTAAAATTTTGTGTAGTATTGAAATATGATTACTTCTTTTGAGCAATTAAAGCATTTCATCCTACTGAATTATGCAAATATTGATAATGAATTAGACTTACATTATCCTTGTGATCTTTATTACCTATATTAACTGGTTTGAAAAGAAATCCAGGAGTACTCTTATCAGAGTTTTTTATTTTTTATTGGCTCTTAGCAATACTGAACTGGTTATTTATGTCTTTATGAAATCAGACAAGTGAGTAGAGAAAGAATACATTGAAAATGGAATTTAAGGCTAAATTCATGTGGATTTCATGTGGTCTTAATGTATTTAAAGACTGAATAAGTTCTAGCTCAGTTGATTTTATATTTGAGATAATTTTATTTTACGATGCCACTTAGATTATAATTCAGAGACTGTACTTGTACCATTGTGATCAACTTTTGGAGGGAATGTACAGTGGATTGAACCCAGAGACTTTACATTGAGCTATATCCCCAACCCTTATTTTATTTTATTTTTATTTTTTAAAAATTCAGTATTTAGGGCTGGGGATTTAGTTCAGTGGTTTTGCTGCCTGCTGCACAAGCGCAAGTACCTGAGTTCGATCCCTGGTACCAAAAAAAAAAAATTCAGTATTTACCGGTAATTTTTTAAATATAGAACTTTGGCTGGGGATTTAGCTCAGTGGTTCCGCCGCCTGCTTTGCAAGTGCAAGGTCCCAAGTTCGATCCCCGGTACAAAAAATAAATAAATAAATAAAAATAAAATATAGAACTTTGCAAGCTATGAATAGACACCATCTTTAACAAAATTTTCAGCAGGAAAGATACTGAAAGGTATAACATCAAAAATTCAAAAATAAGACAGACACATACTACTATAAATACTATCCTGCATTTCTCTGGAAGTTCTAGTCAACAAAATAAAATAAGCAAGGGCCAGGGATTTAGCTCAGTGGTTTTGCTGCCTGCCCCACAAGCGCAAGGACTCGAGTTCGATCCCCGGTACCAAAAAATAAAATAAAACAAGCAAAAAACAATAGGTTAGGGCTGGGGATTTAGCTCAGTGGTTCCACCGCCTGCCTCGCAAAGTGCAAGGTCCCAAGTTCAATCCCCAGTACCAAAAAAAACCCCAATAGGTTAAAACACTGAAAAGAGAAGAAAAAAACAGTTGTTATTAGATTATGTGAATGTCAACATTAACAAAACCAAGTGAATTAATAAATGATAAGTAATAGCAACCTTTACCAAAATACATGGATATAAAGTCAATATGTAAAAAAGTTTCCGGTAACTTCTATTTTTCCTGGGAATTTTTTTTTTAATTCAAAATGGACCATACTCATAGCAAGAGCAAAAACCTTAACACAATCCCAAGAATTGGAAATCCTGCAAAATGAGCTCTCACACCCTTGTTTCATTTTCACACAGGGTCACATTAAGTTGCCCAGGCTGGGCTTGAACTTGTGATCTTCCTGCCTTAGCTTTCCAGAGTGCTGAGATTACAGGCATGTGCTGTAAGGCCCAGCTATCATTAACTTTTACGAAGCTTTTAATGTTAATAAAGTGAATGGATGATTTTCTGGTATTACTTATATTTAACAAGTGTTTTATGTGAGTTATTTTTGAAATTCTCTTTCTAAACAATAATGAGTTGTTTTATGGCTCACTAAGGTAGATAGTGTAGTGGGAGCAGCACATCCCCAGTCCAGGCAATGGGAAACATATGATATGTAGAGAATTAAACATTAGTAGTGAACCAATTAAAGCACAGTCTCCTTTTTATTATCACGCATCAGCAATTCTAAACAATTTGAGAGTTAAATGCCCACCAACAGTTACCACACTTCTTTCCTTGGCTTTGATGCAACACTGAGCTATTAAAACATACATCTGATAAGTGGAAAACAGTTATAGGTGGTACATTTATAGATGGAAAAACAGCCTGAAGCATAGTAAAACTGTCAGTAACATAGGCAAAGTGAATAAGAATTCCTGCTCATCTTTCAAGGGAAAAAAATTATGAACTTTGTATGTGCATAAGCCTGCAAATGCTTTATAGTCAGTAGTGCACATAGCAGTTTAGTTATTGATGCTTGCATTTTGCTACTTTGTATCTACTGTATCTGCTAGTAATTCCCATAGTTATGCTACATAAGAAATCATCCCAAGACTCGTAGAAATCTTGGCCTTTATTTCTTGCTCATATATGGGGTTGGGGTTTAGTCTGTTGAGGCTGAGCCAGCCTGGGCTTGGTTCCAGGCTGTTTATTGGGTCCAGATCTGATGCAAATGGTACTCATCTTTCCATGGACCACTAGCTGTCTGAGAGATAATCTTTTCTTGACAAAAGGCAGAAGTCTTACAGGGTAATCCCTGTCATACACACATGAAGCCTTTGTTGTTGTCATACCTACTTACCACATTATTAAAACAAGGCACATAACCAAGCTTAAAGTCATGGGACAGGGATGTACTCATTATCCACACAGAGGCCATGGCGGGGATGTGGATACAGATGAGTGAAGAAGTGAGAATAATTAATGTATCCCATTATCAAAATTAAACTGCTTAAACACTGACTATGTTTTATTTACTAGATGCTAAACTAAGTTGGATTTATTTAATGAAGGCATACCTAAAATATTGTCTAGGCTAAAATTTTTTAAATCACAGTTTATGGACACATCCAAATTACTTTCCAAGGCAATTCTAGCTTTATACAAGTACTCCATCAGGTCCCAACTCACAAGATGCCCATTTGAGATGTACACTTTTATCAAGATCAGTTTTCAAGGAAGGAGGTGAAGTTGGCTTGGCAGCACACTTATCTCAACACCCTGGAAAGCTGAGGCAAGAAGATCGAAAGTTCAAGCCCCATCTGGCAATTTGGTGACTTAGTGAGATCCTGTCTCAAAACAAGAAAAAGGGCTGTGGATGTAGCTCAGCGTGAAGGCTTGGCTTCAAACCTCAATACCATGCACACACACACCTAAGAAAAGAGGTGAACTCCACCTTAGCCCAACAAAGCATGGTTCTGTATTGAACTTAGAGCTGAAAATGTCTTTAATTCCAGGCTCTGTTGGAAGTAATGCTAGGTACATTTAGTGCCACACCTGGCAGGATGCTGGCTAAGAGAAAGGGAGTTTCCAAGCACTGTGTGCAGGTTCTACAGTCACAAAGGTCACTCTAGCCCAAGAATTTTTGTCTTAGGTTCGGTACCAATGAATAGTTGAATAGGTGTCATAAGGTAATTATAAATCTGTATTCTCAGAAATTCTCGTTAAGATTTTCAGGAATTGTTTATATTTTCATCAGACTTTCAAAGTGATATGTTACCCCAAAACATTTTAAGAGTGACTGTTTTAAATTATTCTAAAATCTCATTCTGGATTAATGTATATTGTACATTATAATCCATGTTGGACATTAATATATATATCAGAATATGGAGAAATTGCATCATAGATATTAACTTACAGTTGTTTTTAGTAACTTGCATTTTACCATGTCATTCTTTTTTTTTTTTTTGATAACTGGGATCGAACTCGGGACCTTGTGCTTGCGAGGCAGGTGGTGGCACCACTGAGCTAAATCCCTGGCCCTCACCATGTCATTCATTTAAAAATATATCAAGTTGTATATAAAACTCATATGTATGTATTTCATATCTGTTTCATCAAAACACAATCCTGTGGGACTTGTTACTAGTTTTACTATAGGAATTTGCTGACCTTATTACCTAATAAATGACCTCTGATTATCTACTGAAGAAACTGTTTTTTAGGCTTTGTGTTATGGATAACTGTACTTATTTTTCCTAAGAATTAAGGTTTTTTGTTTTGTTTTTAGGTTCTTTCCTTACTTGTTAAAATGTATTGTTTATTAAACCTTTATGTTTGTTTTTAAGCCCTAGGATATTTTGACTATCATAACTGTTTTATTGTATTGATTTCTAGGAAACAGAGACAGATTTATCCTTAGCAAAGTATGATGTATAACATAATGCTTATTTTTTAATACTACCCTGTATACATGTTTCTTTTGTGGCCTCATTTTCCTTTTTGCTTTAGTTTTCTTATTTCAAATTTTATTTATCTCATTAGACATATTTTCTTTGAGCTGGGTTCAGAGGTCCACACCTGTAATTTCAGCTACTGAGGAAACTGAGGCACAAGGTGTGACGTTAGAGGCCACCCCAGGCAGCTCAGCAAGACCTTGTCTCAAAATAAAAAATAAAATGATCTGGGGATGTAGGCCAGTGGTAGAGTACTTGCTTAGCCTGTGCAGCACCTTGTGTTCAATTCCTAACTCAAAATGAGAGAGAAATACTTCTTGCCTACAGGAATCCTTTGTGAAATAAAAGTACATGTAGTAGAATCTCTCTTTACTGAGGTGATTGAATCTTTGAATCTGATATTTGATCTATATGGAAAAAAAATACAAAGTTGGGAATTAAAAATTTTTTAAATACATTCAAAAATTAAAATACATTTTAATTTAAGAAATGTACAGTTTAAGAAATAGAAATTTGGGCGAGGGGACAGTGCTCAGGATTGAACCCAGAGCATTCCAACTAAGCTTCCTCCCCAGCCCTTTTCATTTTTTTATTTTCAGATAGTCTGCTAAGCTCCTGAGGTGTGGACATTGGCCTCAAACTCAGCACTCCTGCCTT